GGGGGGGGAAATCTCGGTTTATAAAAGAGAAAGAGCAAATAATGACACCAAACACCACTTGGTTTTCAGAACGAAGCTTACCTGGTGAATTCAGCTGACTGACCTCCAAATTAACAAGTTCTACAGAAACCAATTTATGACGTATTTAATTTTCTGCTCTACTGAATAAAGAGCAGTAACAACTTAAAATGGTTGAATTTTGTTCCAAATAAAAGATTGGCTTGGGAGAGAATGCAGGAAACAAAGCACAGGGAGGAAAATATTTCTTTTTTTTTTTTCCCCCCTTGGTATTTCAGTAAAATAAGGTGCCAGTCAATCACTTTCTCAGTATTATCCGTTTATGCAAAAAAGATCTCAAATTTAGCACCCACACATGGGTTTTTTTTGAGCTGGATGAGGAAGTTGCAGCAGCAGAGACGGCTCAGCTCCCTCCCTCCACCCCACACACGCTGGTGCTCGAACCAGACACATCACTTTTAAAAGTCCTTAGAAAGCTTCATTTCAGCTAGACTGAAACTTCTCACTCCAACATGGCTCTTCCGCCCGTAAAACAGCTCCGCGCAGCACAAACACAACCGAAGGCAGGGGTTTGCTGGTAGGAAGCTTTTTCATGCTGAAAGAGCTTCCCGAGTCAGTAGTTTTCGTGAGGTTACAGCACGCTGCTTTCACAACGCGTCCGGAACCTTTTACGTGCCTTTGCACCCCAAACCTTGACTTAAGGAGCAACGGGAAGGGCAGTGATGCTCTGACGAACTGCATCTCTGTCCCCCTTTTCGGTAAAGCCACCAACAGAGCTCCTGCCCGAGGACCCAGGCACCTCAGCCAGGTTCTTCCAGCACCATTAAACCTCATTATTTAGTTCTTAGTTCTGCAGGAAGAGCCACGCGGCATTTTAAATGGCGCTCGTGGCAGCTCAGCTTCCGAAAACACCCAGATCTGGTCCTCAGCTTCATGGGATTTGCTGTGACACCAACTGATTGCAGATGGCCAGAAATTATAACTGCATTTGGACTAATATTCCAAGTAATGACATATGGAATTAGTTGTGGTAACTACTCCCAGCGTAGACACACGGCAGACTGAAAACTCAACTAATTCACTGACACAGGCATACAAACCAGGAAAAGCTCAACGCTAAAGAGACAACAGGACAGCTCACGGGGCTACTCATGGAAACAAACACCATCGAAACAACACTGTAGAAAATAAATAAAATTAAAACCTCGGCATTATCCAATTCAATGGTAATCTGTCAGAAGAGAAAGAAGGGGAAGAATTGAAAGTGAACATTAGTGAGAGAAATTACAAATAAATTTTCACATTAGGATCTTATAAATCATTTAACGCTTCAATGCCATGATCCAGCAGCACGAGTGCTTCGCAGGCAGCACAAGTAATGCCTGCGGTGGGTCAGGGAAGCGGCACTGCTGGAAGCGCCAGGGAGCTCCGGAGGCAGGATGAGCCCCGGCTTTGTTCCTGCGCCAAGTGACAAACCACATGGTCCGGCTGTCCGAGATCCAAGAACTTCACCCTTGGGCACAAGAGTCGTCACCAGTGCAGGGGCTTGGATTTCCAGTTGGGGAAGAGAAACGTTTGAAAATGTAAGTCATAGAATCACAGACTGGCCTAGGCTGGAAGGGACCTTAGAGATCATCTAGTCCAACCTCCCTGTCATGGGCAGGGACGTCACCTCTTGACTAGACCAGGCAACACATGGGGACCGAGCGGGAATCAAACCCGCGACCTCGGTGTTGGTCCCTTTTGTCAGCACCGCGCTCAAACCCCTGAGCTAACCGGCCCTGCAGAACCGAGGCTAATTGTCTGGTAGGGACCCAGGAAGACAGGCATGAATGACACGTTTCAGCAAAGTAAAAAACTTGGGTCTAGCCTACACTGTCAACGTAGTGAAGTTTCCTGCCTATTAAACATACCACAGTATGCTCCCCAGCGCCGAGTGAACCCGAGCGCGTGCCAAGACGGGGAGTCTTGAGCAAATATGCAAAACTTTGAGCCCTCCCACAAGCTTCTGTGCATCTGTGCTCTCCCCACGGGCTCTGCAGAGGAATCCCAGCTGTTTGGTGAAGGCCCGCGCTCACAGCAGCAGACAAGCACCATCGCCATCACCTTTCCCACCAGAAAAGGGACAAGCGCAGGGGCCAGGAGGACGCGGCGATTTTATTATTCGTGCTGGAGGGTTGAGCGTCAGAGGAGGAATATTAGCTTTTTTATAAATCGGATTGTTCCAGCGGGCACGGCATGGTACTGCAGCAAAAAAACCCGCACGCCGTGCCAAAGCTTCCACAGCGCTCTGCTGCTGAACACCGACTTCCAAGTGACTGCTGCCAGTCCTGCAGAGCTCTGACCTACACGCAGCACTGCCCGCGTGATCAATACGCTGGTCACAAGAGGAAGTTTTGACACCTTTGTGTATTCAGGGACTCCTGCACGGGTGCATCAGGGTTTTATTTTTATTCTTTTTTTTTTTTTTTAACTCCACACTCCAGGATGGTTTCAAAAACAAAAGGTATTGCCTTTTAAGTGGTGACTAAATACAGTTGTATGAGTCACAAGGGAGAATAAATGCGATTGCACTTCTCACAGTCAGACTGTAAAAGCTGTTCTACTACTACTAGCAGTCTATCTGTAGGCAATCAGCTGCTTCCTCATATTCGGAAATCCACTTCACAGGCAAGCATGTTCTCTTCTTGCATTACGTAACTGATCTACTGTCTCAGAAGTCGATGTGTTTTCTACACTTGGAAGAATTCTAGAATCTTGTGGGGTTCTCCATGGCCTGAATGGTGCAAGTTACATTAACTGTATCTTCTGTGAACACTCCTTCACCCAAGCTGGTCAAAATCTAAGGAACTTCTGTGAATGAATTTCCATTTAGAAAAATCTGAGTGGCATACTGCATTTATAAAAGAACAAAACCTCAAAGCTCTCATTTGGGTTTTGCTGCTGTGTAGTATGTCATCCACACTTTCTATTACTCAAGGTGACCTTGGACAGTCTCTCTTGGCTGTTTTCAACTGGGGAATGCACACTGACATTCTATCAAAGGGTAAAACTAAAGCTATGATTACACTTAATCTTTTGCATCCCCAGCGCTGGGCAATGGGAAATATCAGCGCTCTGCACCCATTACAGAGGATCACCTAAGCCCAGCTCCCTTTTGCAGGAGGAAACTGAGTTCTGCAGGCTACAACCAGTCCCCTTCCAGATCAGCACTGTACTGTCTCACAGGCGGCTCAGTAAAGGACCTTGAGCAGAGGACAGAAGGTCTCCACAGGGCTTTGTCCTGCGCTGTTACGACCCAGCACATGGTCCTGCCACTTGGGCAGGACAACATGCTGAAATTAAGCTGAAACCCACAGCTGCTGCCCCTTCCTGACCACCCAGCTGCCCTTCCCACCCCACGTACAACGTGCTGCAGCTGATCAGGGCATTCTCCCAAAGCTGATGACTTTATTCAAGAAAACTGCTGCTGCAAAGCAAGCACAAGTGCCCTCGGCAGGATGGCAGGAGCGAAGCAGCAGCAGGAGCCGGGCTGGCCCTCTGACAGCTCGTGGGCAGAGCGTTCCCTGGCAGGGCAGGGGGCACAGCACCAGCCATTCCCTACCCTTGGGGCATTTTCCAAGGAGTCTCCCGCTCACTCAGGACGCTGCCGCCTGCCTGGCCAGGTGTGCTGGGCTGAGAGCGCGCACGTGTACGCTCACACGCCCTCCTCGCTCCATCTGGTCGCCCTCCTCCGGGTCCCTGCCTCTGGCTGGGCTGGCAACAGAGCACCACGTCCTTCTCCCACGTCCTCCCTGTCTGCAGCCAGGCTAGCCGAAGCAGAGGTCACGAGCCACATGCCAGCCGGCCGGCCGAGCGATGCTGCAGGTTCCTCTGCCTCCGGAGCATCTCCCTCGCTTGCAGCTGCAGCTATAGCTACAGCCATAAACCATTATCACTATCACAAAACTGTCTGCCCTCTGAAGTTTTTTGCTTCTTTGTGCTGTGAATCTAGCGCTGCGTAATAACTCTAAACCCTACGGCAAGTGGGAACTGGACACGAGACACCATCTGCTCCTGGGCACGGGCTCCCAGTTGCAGTGAGCATCCTTCCTTTTTTGGCTTCCCCCGGTGCCAGCTGCCCGCTCTCGGTTGCTCAGGAGCCCATTCACGGGGAGGGTGCATCACTGTGCACCCACCGTGTAGCATGGAAACAACCCAGATCGCTCAAAAACGTACGAGATAAATTAGGATTTTGAGACTGACTGTGGGGATGTCTAGATATAAAAACATACCGGCACATTCTGACTCCTCCGATGCAAACAGAGAATAGGTGTGTACCTACACAAAAACATTCTCAACAAGACAAAGGGGTTGTATGTAGGAAAGGGAAAGAAAAAAAACCAACACAAACATAGGTGGGTGTCCAGTTTCCATCTGTAATTCACAACAAGATGATGGCTTGGATGTATATAAATTAAAATTAAACTACAAAACATTCTCTCGTTGCAAGGTTGTGTGAAGAGTCACCTAGACCCAGAAAGCAGATAAAGAGGTTATATCCTTCATAAAGAAGTAACGAAATTAGGTATTTTTACAGTGCCAGCAAGTGCACAAATTAGACTTAAACTTACCAGTCTAAAGTAAAAGAGCAACAGAAACAGGTTTATCTTTCAAATTAAATTTGAAGCTACGAGTTGACCAGAAATTTTCTGTTCCTGACCCAGTACAGAAGTGCTTACACACAGAAGACACAGCGTGAAAGAGGCCCTTTGCTCAATGCTGAAATTCACATTTAAACAGAGAACGACGAACCGTAAGTTACATTACCTTTTCTCCATAGCCTCTATCTTTGGTCATCATTTCCCTGAGCGTCTGCAATACTTTAATACATAGTTTCTCCTCATTCTCCTCCAGCAGCTGTTTAGTATGCTTTATTAACCTAAAAAAAAAACCCACAACAAAACAACCAGCAATCAATCACAGCTCGTTTTAGTATTAATATTCTAAAGATGGGATAAGATATACGTAGCTATCTTTCTTAATTGGTTTAGGCTGCAAACAAGTTTTACCATACCATTATACAACCATCTTGGGAATATTGTCTCCTGAGCAACGTTTAACCAGTGCCCAAGGGCTTTGGTGAAGCTGCGGAGGGAGGCGCATCCCCCCCGGCAGGAGGACAGCCAGGTAACACCCCTGAGACTGCAGGCAGAAAGGAGTCAGGGGAAGGGGCTGCAGGATTTAGGGCTTGCTGGTCCTCCAGGACAAGCACTTAACAGTAAGAAAGGAAACGATTCCACAAACTACATAAAAAAACATACTGAGAACCTGGGAGAGCGCTATTAGAAATCCACCATACCCAAGATTTGTTTGTTACTCCAGTATTTAGTTTTCATAAAACTCTCCCTGTAATTCACCCCTTCAGGTGATTCAAGGAGCCAGACTCTGCTCTGCATTGCCCTCTAAATGGCTTTGTCATCTTCCTCTTTCCTTCTGCCTAAACGTGGAGGGCTTCTGCACTGGGTGCCGCACACGGTGACCACCGGTTCTGACATACTTGCCCAGCACTCACGGCTTCAAGATGAAGCACGTTGCAAATGTTACCAGGATTGAAGCCAGGGACATAATAACAGGGATTAACTCCTATTTTTTTTGCTTGTTTATACAACTGTTTATGACACTTCTATCCTGCAAAGTCAGAAATTTTTAAGCCTTAGCGTAAAGAAAAAAAAAATTGCATTTCCCACACCTTGAAATACTCTGCTGGGCAAGAGGGCACCGTTCCACAGAGTACGACAGAACTTGGGAACTAGGGAAAAGCGAAACCTAACAAATCTTCTCTCCACAAGCCAGGCTTCAAGACAACTCACTTGCAAATGAATCCCCCGCTTTCACATTTCCTCCTCGCATCGGTGTTCTCCGGGAAGAGCAGCTCCGGCCGGTGAAGCACATCGACCAGCACCGACAGCTCAGCCTGGACAAGAGGGCGTAGGCGATCCTCTAAAGCCGATACGATGTCCTGGAATATAACCGTGTCAAGATTTTAAACAAACATTAAATACACCGAAATCTGCGCACCCATTGATTTTACAAACCGCAAAAGAGGAACAGGACACTTCATAGAATCATAGAATTGTCTGGGTTGGAAGGGACCTGAAAGATCATCTAGTTCCAACCCCCCTGCCATGGGCAGGGACATCCCCCACTAGACCAGGTTGCTCAGACTTAGGTCTGTCCTGCCTGGATAAACTAGATTAAAGACCTCAGTGTTTGGAGAGGTAAGACTCTCAGTTTTATTTCTTCTCCTAAAGGGAAGCCCTGATTTCCAGCAGTCTCTTGCATTGCTTAGTAGCCTACCCTCTTCAGCTTTGTAGGTTGATACAGGAGAAAAAGAAAAATGCAGATTCGCAGCTGCCCTGAAACTCTGCGATAACGATCAGGCTGTTTATGCCTACACAAATTGACAAAAAAGTACTACTGTTAAAATTATACAAAAATAAAATTCTTCTCCCTTTTCCTCAATCTTTGGAAAGCTGCAGGTACCTTAAAAATGAAACCACATTTATCCTGAAAATTAAACAAGCAGAAAATACTGAGATACCTCTGAAGGCAGAGAGGAAGTTGAATCAGTTTGAAGTGGACAGACCGCAATGGATAAAAAGGGAGAAGCTACTTCAATGAGACTAGGCTGGACAGTGTTTTTATATAAGTTTCACAAAGCTAGTTAGAACTACAAGAAAACTGCTTTTGACCAGAGAATGAGTCTTCAAAGAATAAAGGTATCACTCAAGATGATGAATTTCAGTTGATACTAAAAAGGCCTTATCGAACTGTCTACACATCTGAACACAGAATACAGCTACAACACATCAGTCCCCAGTTCTAACATGACGTGTTAATGTTTAAACAATCTTTTTTGCAAAACCAGTATGGGGAACGCACACGCTTTGTTTCAGGGAAACGAGGTGGCTGCAGCTGGTTCACAGGGAATCGATATGTCCCTTTCTTTCAAGCTCTGCAGCCGTTTCCAGGCAGGGCTGCGGCACCTTTCATTGTACCAAGAGTTTTGGTGTACAAGGAGCAAAGCACTGGAGGAGTCTGGAAGTCTGTGATGATGAAAGTCCTCCTTTGTCAAAGAAATATTACCGACGGCAGAACAAGAATATGTCAAGTATCACTAGTTTCAAATATCAGCATCTCTAGAGGTCCCTTCCAACCCCTAACATACTATGATTCTCTGATCTCCCGAACGATTACTTCTATACCCATTAGCTGTGCACGTTCCGTTACTTGTCTTGATGCAATGGTTTACATTTGGTTTGATACACGGTATCACAGTATCATTATATTCAGCATCAGCTAACTCGATTATCATCACGTGGCATTTTGACTAGTTAATCCCCGAACGTCTTTCTACTTAGTAAATTCCTCCTTTTGTATCGCCATGCTAGCAAGTGCTTATCAGAGGAGGAAGGGGTGGCTCTGGAGTCACCTGTAATCTTTCAATTATGTTTCGATAATCCCTGGAGGCAGCGAGCACCGAGTCTCTGCGGGCAGCATTCCTCGCAGTCATTCGCCAGTTCATCGCGGTCTTCTGAACGATGTTATGAGATTTCAGGAAGAGATTGTTGACCTGGCTGTCCAAGTCCACGGGAATTGCAATTGCTCGGCTTTTTGCTGCAGGAAACAAGAGAACGGACTCTTCCAGCCTATATATTGCAACCGATGCAAGAACAAGACAACGTCCGCCTGCGATTCCTTCTACGATCTCCTTCGTGTGCATTTTAAACAACGCAACGCCCGGTCACTGCGTAACGGGTCAGACCTCTGGGTTAAAGGCTTTCAGACCTCAGAGCTGTTTACTGTCTTTAAAGCACGGCAGTATGAATCTGTCTGCCCACACGCACTCCCAACAACTCCCACTAACACTCACATGCAGAATTTGGCCTCAATATCCAGTGCAAATTACTCTTCTCGCTACTAAAAGTACAGCAAATTACTGGTAGGAGTGGCACAAAACTGTTTCCCCACTGCAGAACAACAGGGTTGCAGAGAGTTTTGAGGTTAAAGGGAGAAAGCACTTCAGGTTGGAGTGACAACGCCAATTGCTCAACCACGACAACACATTTGTGCAACTCTCGCTTCACTCTGTGCCTCAGCTTCGAGGCGTCTGCAAGCGGCACCTGTGGGAAGGAACCGGCAATTCTTTTTTTTGGAAAGATGACATCTAAGCAGCAAATACCAGATCACCACGTTGGCAGCGGTTAGTTCCGATTCCACCCATTCCTTACCTACATCTGAGAGGACCCGAATGCAGCTTTCCACCGATGCCTTTTGGCTCGGCATTAGCCAGTTGCAGTGGTACACCCGGAACACGCCTTGCAGCAACTGCACGAACACAGGCTGGCGAGTCTGGAACGCAAGGTTGAAGAAAAGAAAAAATAAAAAATATCAGACTCATCATGCCATATCAAGATGTATGGGCATCACCTTGAGGCAACACCAGCTCCAGCTGTGGTTCTCCACACACCAGTCATTTCTAAATGCTCTGCATCCACTCGCCAGGCAACTTCACGTCGCGGACGGAGTATCTACCGCCCCATCAGCGACTGAATGGGAAGGGTGGGAACGAACACTGGAAGGGAAACATTTAATAGCTTCTAAAGCATAAAGGCTCAGTAATTGAAGCTTGACTAAGCAGAGGAAATAAGCAGTCATCTTCATGTATGTAATCAGAGTTATCAGCAAACCCAGCACAGAGACTGTTGTTCTCTTAACGTTGACCAGGAGCTGACTCAATAGACCACAGGTAAATGGGACTTGGCTTGAGGACAGCACAGCTCCAGAGTTGAAAACTCATCATTTCAAGCATTATATTAGCTGGTATCTAATTTACTGGAGAAACCAGCTGCGTGTGCATTATTTACAACACAGGGAGCAGTTAGTGGTAACACTACAGCTGCTATAGGGCAGCCAAAATTAAGGCGTGGGTTTCAGCCCCGTGTTTCACCAGGCGATCTCCCACTACAGGCAGGTGAAGCTACTCCAACGCACACCAGCTCTGCTCTTTCATCTCTGCAACTTCCCAACAACAGTGACCAAAACTCCCTGTTCAGTTTTTTACAGTAATTACTTAGCAGAATAATTCATTTACCTGTAGAGGAAAGAGTATTTCAAATATTTGAGTATTTTAAATATTTCAAATGAACCTACATCGAGAGGGAATACCCCCTGTCCCCGTGCCTACTCGCTACTCAGTGTTTCTATCAGCTAAGTGAACTACACCACAGTGCAAAGCCCACGAGACTTAGGAACCAGTGACACAATACCTCATTTATTCTGGTCAAGATTAATGCCTGTTTGTAAGAGAAAAGTGGAGTTAGAGAAAAAAGCCAAATCTATTAGATAATTAGCTCTATTAGATCAATTCATCAGATAACACCGTTATGAAACGTACAAAAGGAGAATTGAAATTCGAGAACCAAAAAAAGTACTAAGAGGCAAACAGCTATGACCCTTTCCAGAAACAAGCCAAACACCGAAATCATGGCAGACAGTAGCACTTCTCCAAGGGCACCAAAAATACCTGCACTTTCTGGGTTTAAGCCACCCACCTTCCAGTTCGTGTTTAACAACTTTTCAGCCTTAAAAAGCTTCAAAGGCGTTTCATTTGCTTAAACTAGGTCAATAAATCAAACGAGAACTTTACTCCACGTTCCACATGCCTCCAACTACTCTTGTGAAGGAAAGCCTTGGGCTGCAGCACCCTTAGGAGGCAAACAGGCGGAAAAGCGCTCGTTAAAGAGGAAAAGTTTTGGACAGTTGTTCCTTGGGAAGACACAACCTCTCCCAATTTTATATTATTTGAACTGCATGACAGATGTACAAGGTGTTCCTTGAATGAGCAAGGCTGGTACAATTTAAGTCGAACAAGCCACAACATGAAAGAGCATGAGACAAGAAGAGCATGGGAAGAAGGTGCAGCAGAAAGGACGTGAAGGGGAGTGGGAATCATCACTGACCCATGGAGACAGGGCAGGAGGTGAGGGAGCAGCAGCTGCAGGCTGTCCTGCAGCATCTCACATGGGAAGGAAGAATCCCACCCGGAGAAGTGATGCAGGACAGCTGGGTCCAACAGGCTGTCCTCCTCAGGTGGGACAGTCCCCAGTTATGGGCAAGAGCCTTGACAGAAGAGAAACAGCTTTTAACTCAAGAGATGTAGAGGAAAGATGAATCTCGGGTGAGACAAAGACAGAGCCATCAGCTGAGATGGTAAGAGAGAGGTGAAATAACTTACTTCATCCTGATAGACCAGAGAGATCGAGAAACTGAAGAAAAACTGCTGACATAAAATTAGCAGATGGGTAAAATGCGATGGTAAGGAAGTGTGTTCAAACGCTCTGTGCTCAGAGATGACAATTAAAAGGACGACAGCCAAGGTACACAGTGCAGGGGGAAGAGAAAAGGGCAGCGCCCCAGGGGACAAGGCTAACTTCATCTCCATTTCTCATTTCTAGTGTCGAGGCTGACATATCGCAACAGTGGCTGACATACTCGAGTCATATGAGGGGCAAACCAACTGCTGGTCTGCTCAGACCTGGGCGAGTCCAACTGCCAGATGCCCTTTACGGCCACTTTCGGGCACCAGATGCCTCCTAACCTGGTGCCAGTTGCATTCCATCACAAACCTGGGCTTTGCACAGCCAACAGCTGCCTGGGGCGTGATGAGGCTGCATCAAGTTTCAACAACCACCAACACTGCAACTTCTGACAGACCTGCCAGGCACCTGACCACCCCACCCACACTCCTCCCAAAAAGTTATTCATGAAGAGAAGAGCGATGGTATTTCTGTGCTGCATTACTAATATTGGGGCGATGTCCTGACACTGGTGTTCTGCAGTGGAAATCTCTACCTTCTGACACCTCAGATGTTCCAAGCTTCTATTCCCCACTTCCCCAACTTTTAAACAAGACAAAAATGACTTGGCTTGATGAAACACACTAGAGCATTGGGATTTTTTGATTTTTTTAAAGGAAACTAGGATCTTCCTATAAAAATACGCTTCCTTTAAGCAACTCCCTTTGCGCTCTCAGTAACGCAACACTCTCCCCCTGCCTGGAAAGCTTGCCACCAAAGCTTTATCTTGCTTCTTCATGGCACTCTGGAAAAGTCCTTACTGTTGTGCTGCTGCTTTACCACTGCTGGACAGTTGGCACACCCAACTATCGAGGAGCAAAATTGCTTCTTTGCTGTCCTGCACCTGCCCACATCATCTGCACTCTGAGGCTGCCCAGAGTCATGAGATGCAGCTGCAATAGAAAACACTTCCCTACTTGCACTGGCCCTTTCCTCACCTGGGAATAGAAACTCTCTCCAAAAGAACCTGTGTGGGGTGACACTTCAGCTTCTCTAGAAAAAAAACTTTTGCTCTCTGATCTACAAATCTTTCCACTTCCACAGCTGAAGAAACGTCCTGCTCACAAAGAATCCGTATTTGCTGCCCCTTCACGAACACACGTCTGTAACTGCTAAATGGAACCAAAGCGGAACGAATACAGTTGTGTTGGCAGCTTATTTTCACTTTTCTCTCCCTCTCCGTTTCCATACCTGCAGAGTAGTGCTCTGATCAGAGAATGGGGAACTGAAGAACGTGGTGACTATACTCATCACTATTTCGGTAACGTACTTCTCCAATATGGAGTCGGCGTGCTTTCTGTCGCTGGTGTTGTTACAAGCCTGCAAGACAATTCGTTCTTAGGTCAGAAGCAGCTCAGCCAAGGTATGTTAAAATGTTACAGACTGGAATTCTTGATTTCACACTGTTCTAGTCCCAGCAATTCCCCTGCCACGGCGATATTTATGACACTTGGATCTCTGGATTTCCAGCACATACAAAAGCAGAAGCCCAGCGCTGTTGCTGTTTTAATGTGTTGGCATATGGAGCGTTCAGAAGGGAAGGGGAAATAAAAATACAGCGTACCTTAGAGGAAAGCAAGTAGCAGGGTAGGGAGGACTAAGGTGTAATGCTTTCATATGGGGAAATACTTGGAATCCCAGGCAAAAAGCCATATAGCAAAACAAACGCCAAGCTTGGAAAAAATTTGTTCTGACCTGCCAGAAAACGTCAACTATTGCTCGGGAAGGAGCTCACTTGTCCCGGCCAGGATAAGCAAGCCAGGTGGCAGAACTGAAAAAGGCAGCAGACAAAGGAGCAGGGTGTGGGGCTTCTCCAAGTTTTTTGTTGGTTTTGTCGTTGTTTAAAATTTTTTTAAGGAAAATATTAATGCATTCCATGAAATATGACTAATGAAATCCACAGGCATTCGGAAAAGGCGGCCCATAAAAATTTGAAGGAACACGGTATTCAGGGTACTTAGTGCCTCGATGCACTGTTACGTCTTATTCTTACTGCTCTATACTAAATAGATTCATTTAAGCTTTTTAAATCCAGTTCCAAGATACAGAAATTGTTACCCGACAGATGTCAACCAGGAAGTTCTCAAATAGCTTCCACATATGATTACTGGTGTAAATCTCCTTCATTTCTACTTCTGTGTCCACATAACAATGATTCAAGAAGTTGATGTAGGCAATTTTGACCTAGAAGTAGAGGAAAGAAAAATACTGTTCAAGATAGAAAGCTGAACAGTAGTATGAATGAATATGCCACATCAAAACTGCTCTGTAAATCATTTGTAATTGTACTTCTCCCTTTTATTTAAGCACTGGTGAAATTTAATGCCATGAATAGCGAGGCATCATCCAATAAAAACCACCAGGATTACTGTAGACAAAACGTCAGCGTAATAATCATTCCCAGTTCTGCAGAACCATCTGTCCAAGCTTAGCAGCGCACTCCAGAAACCTCCCGGCCTCAAGAAACCTATAAAACAACCAAATGCAACATCATACCCCCACTTCGAGGGCAAGGAAATGAGCATAAATGGATTTACGTTAGCTAACCTCCAGCCTGACTGGGGTTGCCGACAGCAGAACCAGGGAAGGAATCCAGTTTTGCAGCTCAGATCCTCCCGTCCCCCTGCACCACCCCTGCTCCTGAGCTCAACTCAGCACCACCGAATCCCTTCCACCCAAAGCCAGCACGTTCCAAACACACCTAGGCCAGTGCCTGCAAGGAGCCCTCACCTCGGGGATGCAATCCTCGTGGGTTACTACCCTAACAATGTCATCCAGAGGAAGGAGGGAGTTGCATTTGATTTCTGTGTAGACATTTTTGCCTTCTGTGCACACAGCCAGCAGTTCCACCAAGTGGATGTGGTACATCAGCGGGCTGTTCTCGTCCATCCGATCCCTCTCCGATCTCATCATTTGCACCAAAGTCTGGAAGGAGGCTCTGTCATTGTAAAACACGAGGACGTCCTCTCCTGCGTTCACCAGCTACCGAGAGAGAGAAACATTCCTTCAGCAGATCAAAGCCCGCGCATCTCCCCGCAGCACTCTCCCCCTAACGTGCGGGCTGACCGTGACAGTGCCAATCCCAATCAGCCATCCTTTAGACACTTAAAAGCAGTGCAGCCCACCAAGTCAGCTGGGCATTCCTCTTGCGTTCTCCTTCATGAGTATGACGTTTTCTCCTGAAGAATTTACCACTTCCGAACTGCTCAAGAACTTCAAAGTCAGCCCAAGTGACTGCTGAGACAGAAGTCGTGCCAAGAAGTTGGTGTGACTTTCCATTGTGCTTTTTTGATTTCACGTATATTGCCCCAGCTGACTGTTTAAAACACAGCGAGCTGCAGACGTACCGTTTTGGTCACAGAAATGCCCTGGGGGCATGTTGGATGGGAGGACTGAAGGGCTCACTAATTCCAACCCTTCTGAACAAACATCATCAATTTTCCAAGGCTGGCGAGTGACACGTTCGATCACACACCAATGATTTCTATCAGCCTCCCATTTGAGACCCAGATGGCCACATTTTCAGAGCAGTTCAGACCTCCTGTAACTCGAGGGAAGGAGAACAAACTGAGACCTGCTCCAGGCTGGGCACTTCTAAAGAGGCAGCTGGAGGGACCTGGGGTTGTCCTCGCACAGGGTTTGGGGCAAAGAGCTACATAAAATGCAGATGGTAACCCCCCAGCAAGGGAACTCCCTTTTCTCAGCGGTCTCTGACCCCCGTGGAAGCTGGTTGCTGAGCATCTCACGAACTCGACTGGAGAAGGTCACGAAACCCTTTTCGAACAGAACGACAAAATAGGGAAGACCTTCATCAGTCTAGTAAGATCGATCCGCAGAAGCCAGAGCTTGGCAAATCCGATCCTTGGGCTCCCCCTGCTGAGGAGGCCAATAAAAATCCTGTGGAAACGCAGCGTCAGGTCACGTTTGATATCCAACTTGAAGGGATTTATTTGCCCTTCTTTTACCTCTCCCTTCTACCCTGACACCCCAACTTCCCAGTTACCTACACCCCAGAATTTCTGAGGAATCAGCCTTTTTGACCTTCAGCACTTAAAACAGTTGAACATGTACGATAAGAAATTCCCATCAAAATGCTTTCATGGTAAGAATTTCCTTCTGCATTAGTGACCTTGAAATTAAACGACTTCTAGCCAATTTGGCTAGAGAAAAGCACCCTTGCTTCATGAGCTCACAGGTATGCTGCTGGGTAGAAGCCTGGGAAGTAACTTGTGAGTATCGTTAACGACCGGCCGCTCGTTACCGCTGAGGGTGAAGAGCTCCGAAAGCTTTCGGTCACAAGAAAGTCTGTGCTTTCTGGTAGCTGTATGCTCTTTTTGCATTGTGAGAGCTAACTGTCAGCTTCTTGGCAGTCCCAGAAGTGAGAGGATCAATTTGTCATTTTCACCAAATGGTATGTGAAAACTTCTGTTCAGACCTTGCAAATCTCTGCAGCTCTCACCTCAGCCATTACCATATCTTGGCATTTCTTAATGAATTTTCCTTCCGCCTTGACAATTGTCTGCAGGAACTTTATGTACTGAACATTCCTGCCGTGCGTCTCGATACAGTGGACAAAGTGTTGAACGACACGTTCATTAATCTCGCTGCAAAGCTGGAAGTTGTTCATGAAAATGTGCTGCATCGTCACCGCTTCCAGAATCTAACCGAGGGGATGAAAGAAAGAGGGAAAAAAAAAAATTAGAAATAAACAAACCACCAAACCCTTGCAGAGGTCAGGATAAAGTCAACACTCCTGCAGGGTGTAGGACTGAAAAGAACATCTCTGAGGACCGAATCTTTCAACGCAAGGGCTCGTTTCTAAGCCTATTTTTCAGCCCACTTCGGCCTCTTGAACTTTTTATGCTGAAACGGTCCTAAACAAACAGGTCATGGGTTGGAGTTGAGGATCCCAAGGGTCTTTTCCAACCTGAATGTTTCTATCTTGCCAACTTTCAAGGCTTTAGAATGAAAACAAAACACGAACCCCCTTCAACCAATCTTGCATCAGAACAGGCCCAGAGGCAATCATCAAGGACAATCCACTCTCTTTCCTTGCTAGAAAAAAACCCAAACCAACAGAAAAGCCAAAAAACGATGCCACGAGGTGATTCTTACCCCTGGGTTAAGGAACAGGTTTATGTGCTTGTGCAGCAGTGCCTGGTTCTGTTGGTTCCCAGCACAAAAGTTCTGTAAAAACTCATGCGCGAGCTTCATTATCTCCTGCATCCTCGTGTCTTCAGCCTGTGATCGCGTGACAAACGAGAGGAGGTTACAAAGAATCTGAAGGTTCACGTTCAGGTGAGTACTGGATGAGCCGCAGCTCCAGCTCTGCAAGGGAACTGTCACGTCTCTCTCACACTCCAAAGAAAAACAAACCTCCACCCAGTTCACAGACCTCAGGGATGAGTTTGGCCTGCTTTGCAGTTTTAAAGATCATCACAAAAAAAAAAAAAAGCAAACAGAATAGAAATGACAGCGGTTTATTCTCTAAAATGGCTTTCTCCATGGCCAAGCCTGCCAGCAACGTGCTTTAGGCACTTTTTATACTTCTGAACATCCCTGTCCATCAGCCAAACCACACATCATCACCTTGAGGCTGCACAGGAAAATTGCCATGTTCCACTGAAACGCATTTCAGCAGCGACAGACAGGTCGCTCATGGCAAAGAAGAGATGGAAAGTTATTATTATTACAGCAGTTCAGCCCAACTGGTATTTACTGGAATCCGCACGCCACTTGCATACTTCCAAGTACAGTTCAGGAATTGGTGCCTTTCCTCTGACATCAGTGTGGATCACTAGTCCACTGATGGTATAAAACACAGTTAGGAAAATAAGTTATTTTTAAGGGGTTTCATATCATCACAAGGGGGAAACGCCTTCCACACTGCCTGTCTGACGTTCACATGGATGGAAAAGGCGATAAACCGTGTCGGAGGGTGTTTTTGCTGCCGATTTTTTAGCAAAATACGAAGCAAGACAGCATGAGACTTGGCTAACATTAATCAAAGATACTGTCTAGAGTTACTGCTTCTCAGAAACCTGTAGAGTTTGGAGCAGAGGACAGTAGAGCAATCAGGAAAATGTAAAGAGGTCACCTGTGGCTCATGAGCAGCCGAAGGGACAAACTCAGGGTGTGTTTCATCAGCACCAACTGGTGCAAGCTCAAACTGTAGCAGTGACCCAGCGAAGCTTGCTTCAAACCTCACCTCTGACAGTGCATGGCGCTCTGATACGGCTAATTACAAACAGCAGAGCTCGCCTGGAGAGCCAGTCGGTATTTATTAACTTCTAAGGGGGAGTTTGGGACACTAGACACTGGGGGAGGTCTGTATCTTAACTACTGGGGAGACCTGATGATAAATCCCAGGGGGGACCAGGCACCCTCATTTTCCTCAGCGTTCGCAGGAGGACTGTCCTCGAGCTACCTGGGAGCAATAACGGAGGGTCTTGCTACCATCAACACAGCTCAACTTGCAGGCAGCTATTTTTGAAGCACGGATATTTCGTAGAGTCCGAGACTACATAAGACAGCCTCTATGAATCCAATATAAACGTAGAAAGTTAAGGAGTTAAGCATCCATCAATGTTATTCAAAGCAAGGCAACAGCCGTGCAGAAACCCAACCTTTTCATAGGGGATCTGCAGCAGCTCCAGCACAACCGCGTGGGCTCCCATGTTCCTCAGAAGTCGCTGCTGCTGCTTTCGGTTTTTCCTGACCGAGGCGCTCTCCTGAACGCAGAGCTTGCTGAGTCGCAGCAGGATCTGGAGAAAGGAGACTTGCTTTAGAGCTCAGATTCTGGGGGTTATTTCAGAGCAATGCTTTGGGTGGCTCCTGAAGAGCAGCAACAGTGAAAACCACATCTGCGCAGACCTAGGCAGCCAAATCAGGTTTGGGGGCTCGAGGTGAGGAACTAAGACCAGGCTATGGCCTGGTTGCTCCTGAGAGGCCAGAAGAGGTGCAGAAGGAGCAAAAGGTGCTGGGAACTGTGTGGGCAGGAGGCAGGCACAGCGCCTGCTGCCTGCTCGAGTGGCAGGGGGCAAGAGGACGCAGCAGCCTGGTGCCGCTCAGCACAGGGAGGGGAAGAAGTTTACTGGGCTGGGAGCCACCCACAGCATCTCCAACTCCGGCAGAGTTCAGCCACAGCGAGTGAACCCAGCATGGGGCTCCGCAGGACAGAGCCACAGAAACACCAATAGCTCACACCATGCCCGCGCTAGCACAGCCTCTGTGCCTGGTATTTTTTAAACTGCATTTCAGCAGCACGGTGGTTTCGAGTGCAAGGTACTCGGGACAGGGCAAATAGTTTCTCCACTTGCTTGCTTCCTTCGTAGCCTTTAACAATGAAAATATTGTGTTACCATTGAAACAGCAGCGAAACGTCGAGTTTCTCACTAATCCATTCTTAAGGAAAGAATACACGTTGTCCTTATATTCCTGGCTTCTCATTCATGTTGGGATAAGTTATTACTCAGCAAATAGCTTCCACAATGGAAGAGTGACTCAGACTTTCCTGGGTGCCTCCCTCTGACTGCAGCTCTCCAGCGCTGCGTTACTCATTTTCACTTCCATTTAACTATCAAGAAGCAAAAGTTTTACCTCTTTGACTACACGGTAGTTGTAGCTGCTAGTGCTTTCAGGCTTTTGGGACTTGCTGTGACCTTCCTGAGGAAAAAAGCAGACAATGTATGAGTAGCTTATACTCCTGTCTTCATAAAGGCTAGAATTAGAGTTCCAGGAGAGTGCTCGCTCTCTTCAGGGAAAGAAGTGTCATCCTTCAGTTTTCTGACACTCTTAGAAAAACACATAATTATCCTGTCAAGTCACACTGACCTCTGTAACATAAAATAAGGTGAGGGCAGGGTGATTTTAGAGATAGCAATCTCCTGTCTTTTCCCTCGCTTGTCATTGTATGTGTAATCAAGTCTCCCCCCAAAAAATGCATTCCTTCCTCCCTCTCTCCACTACTACTAAACTGTCATTGTACAGATATCACGAGATGCCCGGAAGCACTATGCACAAGGAAAGCAACAAGTAAATCACTTTACTTCCACCAATAAATGTCCATAACCCAGGGACTATTTCTTGAATTGCCTCACCCAGACTTAGAATTCTATGTGATGGCAAATTAAACACCTTTTGGGTGTTTAATTAGTTCTAAGGCAGATGTGCATGCCAAGAAAGTCCAGTATTATCAATCGGAGATAAAGACCTGTCCTCATCCGTTTTTTTAAACGTAGTGTCACGATTCAAAACACAGCACCTGAACAGTTCACAGCTCAGCCCTTCCGTGAGCTGAGGGAGTTCTGACCACGCAACGCCCCACGCAATCTGTCAGCGCTGAGAGGCCATAGCCCCAGAGCCAGAGCAAACCCAAACCAACTGCTCTGTCAGAGCCTAAAGGTGACACCTCACCAGCTGCCAATCCTGAGCAGTTCCCACCTGAGACTAACTGGCACCAACTAGCTCAAGTTCTCCTCTTAATTCTTGCCTTAATCTAAAAGCAATGCAGACAGCCTCCCCAGGCTGTGCAGTGTTCTGGAATGATGGTGGGGTTTTGTCACATTTCTGGAAACAGTTACGCCTTCAAAAAATACTAACACACGAACTTGTGCAAACACAATTACCTCTTTCTTCTTGTGTTCGTTTTCACCTTGCACTCCATCCATAGCCTCATCAGGACCTTGGCCTTTGTACACCCACAGCTCCGATTTTTCCACAATAGACCTCAGCTGGTCCAAATCCTGTTTTATCTGCTTGTAGTTGTCAACATCTTGGCTGGTAACAAGCAGTTGAACCTTACATGAACACAACCCATTAGTTGCACAAAAGGATTGTTTTCAGCTGCAACATACACATTCAGATGAGGAATATCGCTCTTAATACACACCCATACCTGCTTAAAAGCTTGAAGGACTTCTTGTCTCTGACTGAAGTGCCGGAAGAGCAGCTGAAGGGCTCCGGACACCAGAGGAGGATAATCATGCATTGTTAAATGCAACAAAACTCTGAGAAACGTTCTGCCGCCGTGGTCATCCAAATCCAGCGGCGTGTTCTCCTCACTGAAAACAGAGCGTGGGAGTTCACTAGCACGTCAGACAACATCCCAGCACGTTCTTAGGTCAGGTCAGCAGGGGCAGAAAACCTTTCCCCTTACTTTTAAACTAGGGGAAGTTTATCAAATCAAGTGCAATCTTCAGACGCACAAGGGCTTTTTGGCGTCCTGCTTAGCAGGGAGGCTATTCCAGGATCTTACTAATCACAGTCCATTCAGCTTTCACTATCCAGCTTAGATTTTTCCAAACTATGCCAAAATATTTGACCCTATTGACAGCCTTATCCTATTGTTCACATAGGTCAGTAGAAACCCTACCTCAGTGTCCAGCTTGCAGTGCTAATTATGACAAGCACCTGAAATCCCTCTCTTCCCTCTCTTCCCCTCACACCTCTTTTCTGTGCATGAGAAACTTGGGTTGTATTTTCTTTTTTTATCGGTATCCCCTGAATTTTTTCCATATTCTGCTTCCAGCAGAGTTTGCATGCTGACATTTAAAATTCTGGTTATTAATTCTGCATGGGAATTTCTCTCTCCCCTTCTGCCTTCATTTAAGAAATCAGTTATCTTAGGTTTTCTGTAAAACAACTGCAGCTCTGAGCAGCTTACAGACAAGCTCAGGTACTTGGGAGCCCGTCACTGACTTGCTGTCCTGTGATTTCATCAAGGACGTAAGCTGCTCCAGAAGGCAGGTAGGGAACGTACAGCTTGGTTTGTTCTGTCATGTATGGGCAGTTTAAGGCTGCACTATACAAAAAAAAAAATAAAAATGGCTAAATGTCTATCAATCTCAGTAGAAGTTTCAGTCCTTGCCTACACAAAATTTCCATGTAAGACTTTACAGCACTTAGAGGCACTAATCCTTCAACTCAGCTTTCACCACGGGAGGGTTTTGTTTGTGGGGAAGATTCTCCTGGCTGAAATATCCCCATGTCCCTTATTTGTGGCTTTTAATCCAAATGGACACTAGTTTGAGCTGTATTCAAAGGCACTTCAGAAAAATGACTCCTTGGTTGCTGTGGCAGCTGTTTCCAACCTTTTCCCCGTTACCACCTCACTTCCAACCGCACTCCTCGCTCCTCAGGAGTCCCGAGGGCTGCAGCCTGGCAGCTCCTCAGCCACCCCCTTGATTAGCACCAGTGAAGAGACACTTTCCTTCCACCGAAGATTCCCTCAGCTTGTTCTTCAATATGCTCAAAATCTAGGGCTCCTGAGAAAACAAGCGAGACAAACATGTTACATCAGAGTTGCACCAAAGATGTTCTTGCAGCCTAAAAACATTTTAAACCTCAAGCGATGAGGTAGGTGTAAGCAAGGGGGTCATAACAAGCCGAAGGGAACACTGAGACATTACTGAGGCAGCCTGCTAAGATAACAGAAGACAATAAATTAATCTGGTCTCAGCTCACAAATTACATGGCACAATCATTTCAGCAATATCCAGGCTTACTCCTCTCTTGTCTTTTTTTTGATTGCAGGACACTGATGGGACCTGGTGTCATTCGGAGGGGCCACTCACAAGAAACACCAAACTTCATCCTTGAGGATTTCTGAAGTAATAAATTCAGCAATGACAGCAACACCCCCATGGCTCACCAGACAAAAAGGTCTTTGCGTTTTTCAGCATAAGGTACGCATTATCACGTGGGCAATGACCAATATTCCAAAATAAAAGCAGAGAAATGGTAAAACAGTGTCGGAGCTCTCAATATTTCCCAAAGATTTGCAGAGGGGAACCGAAAGAGAGCACGGGGATTTCACGTCCTTGCCAAAAACGGATGAACTTTCTTCTAAAGTTCAGCTGGCAAAAAGAGCTCTCACTCTCCCCGCCAGCCCTGTTTTGGAAGGCCCTGGCACCCCGGGGGGCTGCTGGACAGGGAGACCCAGAAAAAAAGTAAACACATCCCCTTTGAAGCAAGATCAAAAGGAACAGTCTCCTCCCTTTGAAGACTTCACATCTAAACCACATTTTCCTTATCTTTCCCCTTTGCATCTCGAGATACAGTCCCCAAATCGAGGAAGAAAAACTGTTTGATGTCTAATAAGCCACACTTATAAAGTCCAGCTATTCCTACGCTGCACGGGTCCTAACCATGGCCACTTTTTCTGCTGAAAAGCCACAGAGCAGTTGCCAACAGCCCTTCCATCCAGTCCACCAGCTGTCCTGCTTTCAATTAAGAACAACGCTGGACATGACAAGCTCCTCGACAGCTGACTTGCACACCCTTGTCTAGCAGCACTGAGGTACAGACATCTCCAGATGCCTTCCTTGCCTTCCTACAAACCCTTCAGAAAACAGAAGTTCAGGTGGGTAGAGGCATCAGGACAGGGTGGGGAGAGATTAAGGGAATCAGATCGCTTCGGGGACCCTTCCTCATCCAGATTTAATTTGAGGTTGATGACAGACCACACCTGACAGCACTTATTGCAGACTTTCTTTAAAGGCTGCATCTCAGGCTCTCGGTTACATTTAACACATGGAAACTGGTAGAAGAGAGTACAAGTAAATCCTTTGTTTTGGGTATATGGAAGCGATTCCCTGCTCCTCGCAGGGAACTCTGCTTCAGTGGGACCATTCATATGCCAAAGCAAGGACGTGAACCGATTTTCCAATTAGCACCTCCAAGATTAAAGGAGTCTTCCCTCGTTCTCTGCAAAATAACTAACCTGGTACGTTAGCTGGCATTTCTTGATTACTGCTTCCAGTGGGCGATTCAGACATCTGGGCATTGCTTTCGTCAAATTCATGTTTAAATATACAAAGTAGGCAGGAGATTCTGTAGTCCAACCTCACATTCAGAATGAACTGATGATAGAGAAGTGGTGAAAACATTGAAATAACTTGCCTGTTTGCAGCACATGAACAATTTACACGCAAGGCAGTGCTACCAACATGCAAGATCAACACCGTAAAGACGGGAATTCAATGAGAAAAGGTACACAAACGTTTTCTTAAAAATCTCCAGAATCAAGTGATTTTTTTTCAGTGATTTCAGTGAATACTTGGTGAGTAAAAGATTCTGGCAGAGTTTCAATCCCTCCTTAACCCTCAGCCCCAGGGAAGGAAAGCAGCATTTCTATCCCCATTCTGAAAGCAGCAGGAGTCCAGCAGACTGGCGCTGGGGCAGAGGAAGCCGAGCACGAGCTGCCAGGAGCCAGGCTCCATCAAAACCGCCGGCGTGGCAGGGACCACCTTCTCCTTGGTCACAGAATCACTGAATTGTTGAGGCTGGCAAAGCCCTCTGAGATCACAGAGTCCAGCCCATGACCCACCATCCCCACATGGGCCAGAGCAGGGCACCAAGTGCCACATCCAGCCTCTCCTTAAATCCTGCCAGGGACGGTGACTGCCCCCTGCCCTGGGCAGAGCATCCCAGGGCCTGAGCACCCTCTCTGGGAGGAAGGGCTGCCTGAGACCCAACCCCAACCTCCCCTGAGGCAGTTTCAGACCTGGGCACCCTGCTGGCTCATGTTCAGCCGGCTGTCACCCAGCACTCCCAGGTCCCTCTCTGCCGGGCGCTCCCCAGTCACTGCTCCCCCAGTCGGTGGCGCTGCCAGGGGTTATTGTACCCAAAGTGCAGGATCCTGCACTGGGTCTGGTTGAACTTCATCCCGTTGGCCTCGTGGTCTTCCATCCTCTTGAGGAAAGAAGCACGATGCAGAGGACATAGTTCTCTCAGGGAAAAAAGCTTGACGTCGATTTTAACAGACTGTGGTAATAGGGAGAGGGGATAGTGGCATGCTAAAATATCCCAACGCACATGCCAGGCCATAAGAAAAGTTTGGGTTTTAACTAAAATTAGCAATGGTGGAAGGAAGCGAATCAAGTCTCCCTGAAGCGCTGCATCTGCTGCTGCGGGGAAGGGCAGGACCTCAAACCCAGCTCTGCACGGAGCCTCCCACGGGGGCAGGGGGAAGGCACAACCACGGCTCTCCCGCAGCTCCACGTGCTTTCGCCCACGAGCCTGTCGCAGCACATTCTGGGCCCCGTGAACTTGCCCATGAGGCTACAGAACGGAAAAGGGACTCCTACACTGCGGGAGAGAGGATGGATTTCAGCACGGTAATTTGGTGGTAACATCTAGATCAAGGCACGAGCGCTGCAGAAAAGGGAAGAAAAATTTCTCGTCGTGTCCCAAAGACTTAGCGGGGAACAAGTGAGGAAAGACAGGTGGAGATGGAAGAGCTGGCAAGGCTGGCAAATGCCCACATATAAAAGCGATTTCAGGCTGCTGGCTGTACGAGGAGTCTCACGTATCTCTCATTTCCTCGGGGCACTTTATAAGATGGGCCCTGCAGACTCGGAGAAATTACTAAGAGGGGAAGGTGGAAACTGAGCTCTCTGCTCCAGCGAGTCAGATATAAATTGCTGAATTGTTTCAGTAATGGCATATTATTGCCATATGCAAGTTGCCTGAAAAAGCCACCCTCGCAACGCCCCGTCTGGTTCAGAAGAGAAAGGCACAAGGCAGGAAGGAATGAAAAGGCAGCTCTATCGATGCCTAAAGACAACACAAGGCGCTACATTAATTTGCGTTGCCGGTACCTGAAGTATTTCAATGATCTTCAGCTTCGTGTCCATCACCAGGATGTCCTCTTTCTCTGGTTCGCTCTGCTTCACGTTACCCTCCGGAGCAGCAGCAAGAGGAGTCATGGGCAAGAACCCACCTCCTCTGAGCACCACCTGGGTCATGAGCTCGCCCACTCCATGGATTGACCTCATCACATTGCTTCCTTCAGAGAGGTAGGCAAACAGGTACGGTTAGGATGGTGCAATAGGACAGAATTAACGGGGCAAGGACCCTCCACATCCTACAGAGAGAAAGTGTCTCGACATCAATCACGGGCAGGTGGACACTGAGATCTCTGGAGCAGATGGAAGTCAAGAGAAGCAGTGCAGCTCGTCGGCAACCCCCCAGCCCTCTTCCCTCTTTCCCCGCAGGCATTACTCAGCTGTACAGTCAAGCCATGGACAGAAAGAAGTAGAAGATCTCAAACCCACACTAACATTTTGAGGTGAACTAGGAACTACCAGACAGTAACCTGTTCCGCCAATGGTTTTCCAGCCTTACCTTTGCTTTCCTCGCCTTTTGCCATCTTGGTAATAGGGAAGATGGTAGTGATGTGCACACAGTCTAATATAGCAAGGAGGATTTTGGTTAGTCTGAGGAGGTCACAGAAGTTGTAGAAACCAAAATAGATCAGGTTTCTGGCTAAGTTAACAACCTACCAAAATAATAATAGAAAGCCAGATTAATACTAAACATTTTCCTATCACAATCAAGTTATCTTAACACAGTGAAAAGATATGAACCTAGCTGTGAGTCGCATGCTTATCACAATACCTCATATTTCATAAAACTGCCTGGTTCTACATTTTATCAGAAAGCTTTCCTCTTGCCTACAAATAGTGCAGTGCCTGGAGTAATGGTCTGTATCTGCAATTGATATTCTACAGCTACAAAGTCATAACATACTTGTCTCGTTACAGAAAAGATAGGTCACGACGAGAGGGAACATACAGATGTTTTTTAGGGTTCTGTCTTACAAAGAAAAAGATCACGCGTCTAAACCTTGCTGCTACCAAGTTATCGAGTCTCCCCTCAAGTCCTCCACATGCACTGCTTCAAGATCCACACAGTAATTTCACACACAGTGCAGATACTTCATGTAGCCCATTATCTAAAATACATTCCCTCAAATGCTTTCTGTAATTTATTTTAAATAACCATCACATCTTTTCTTAAAGCAATGGTCAGTTAGGGAAAACTATTGCAGGGATTTGCCACATTTTATTTACAGACAGACTATTTTAATAGGTAAGTCCCAGGACACTGTATTGTTCTACCCATGAGTAACCCTGACAAGACCAGACCCAGCCTGCAGACACAGCGTTTAGTTTTCAGGACTGTTTCTTCCAGTGAAGTTTGATTTTGCAGTAACAGGGAAAGCACAAAAAGTAAGTAAGGCTGCTGCAAATCTATGATGTTAGCTCACGTTCTTTAATGGGATTTCATGAACTATATCATTGCAAACTCACAAACTTCAGTGGGGTTGCTGGCATGGGGAGAAAGAACCACAGCGGAAAGGCTCAGCACCCACTAATCACTTGTCAATCTACCTCGTGTCGAAAAAAGTACCAGTATTCCATTAAAAAGAAAAGGATAAAATCAGAATGGGATAACTACCTCAAAAGTGAGCTTATTTTTCTCTTTATCGGAGAAAGGGAACCTCTGACACACCACATCTCTCAAATATTCCTCTACAAATTCCATTGTTTGTGCAAATCTCTCCTTAATTTCATCTTTGGAAGTTCCACTGCTATCATAGCTGAAGAGGAGAACAAAACAAAAAAACAAAACAAAACACAAAACTTAGCATGCAAATACACAGGGCTCTTTTTCCCCCCTGATACAGTTTTTCATTGGTTTGTCAAAATCTAAGAAAAGCTGAAGGCTGTTAAATAATTTATCCAAATGAGGGAGTCAGGAAGCTGACACGAGAATTTCCTGGCTTTTGCTGGTTTATCCCATACACGCATTCTGCACTATTTAAAAATATCTGAGGAAAATTAAAAAAAAAAATATTTTTTTCCCCAATACATAAAAAAATCACCCTTATTATTTTAGTGGAAACAATGACAAGCTATACAGAGGGTTAAGGAGAATGGATGTGGTCTACAGATGCTGACCATGGATGCTATTTCTCCTCCGAATAAAACCTATATATATGCAAAGCAGACATTCATTTTTCTTAATATACAAATTCTAGGTTTGTTTCTCAGCAGGTGCAGAAGGAATTTGAAAAAGAAAATCCCCACCCCCTCGCACTAACTAGTTTGTTTTCCCACTTGATGAGATATCAATGTTTGGCCTCTGCCAGAGCAGAAGCCATTTGGTTTTCTATTTTGGCACTTAAAGTTGAGTATGACCTACTGCATCATTCCCAGCAAAGAAAACTAGACCAGCAAGGAGGGAAGAAAGGGAAAATCCAAGTAACTGCTAAACCCTACTAGTAATACTGACAAGACTCAAACTCTTAATATTTAACATGAATTTTAAATGTTCATTTCTCCAACTGAAAAAAATGAGTTCTGAACGGTTGAGGTGCCATAAATTTTGTATTAGTTGTACTATAAACACAAACCTACTGAGTAGAAATCCCATCTCCAGCCTAGCTGGGGTTTTACACAGGGTTTTCACCACTGTGCCGGAGCGTTTTCTGTCGGAGGTTAAGGGACACGGCTGTCTCCAGCACATTACTAGAGCCCCACCTCATCGCTTCCTCCACGCACATACGGAAAGTTTATTTTGTTCCCAGGAAGGATCTCTTCAGCAAGCATTACAGGCAAATGAAACGCCAGGGTTTGAATATTTTTAATATTATTTTTTAAAGTTATTTTTAAACAGTATAAATAACACGAGTTTAGGACTGATCTGACTTTGGTTTAAAAATCAGGAGTGATGTAATTTCATTTCCGCCACCATCCCAGCAAGTACTTACTCATCGATAGCAATTTCAGAAGGTATTTCAGACCAGAGACGAGCATATTTCACGGGTGTCACTTGTTCTTGGGGGTCACGATCGACGTGCATGTGAAGCATCAGGCGGCAGAAAGACGCTCTCAGATCGTACGGCAAGTTTTCGTCGGACATGCAACGGAGAATGAGGTCCACATCCAGCTGGCCAGATATTTCATTTATGGCTAAGTACTGTCGATCAAGGCACATTCTAGCAAAGAGGTTCAGCTGGTATCTTCAGGAGAAAAAAAACCCACACAAAACCCCCCAAAATAAACAACTTACACTTTAATTTCCAGAAGTGTCCCCCTGTGTATAGTAGTGATGTGCTCTTATATGTATTAACAGAACGAATTCTGTATTTTGCAGTAATATAGCTATACTTAATACGGAAAGAATAAAGTACTTATCAAACATCCGTAAAAGGTAACTGAGTGGAAAAATAGAATAAAAGGAGTCATCACATTTTCCTGAGAGTTTACACCGAATTCAGTACTGTTGTTTATGAAAGCTCCAGAATATCCCAAGAACACAAACGGTAACTCAGCCTAAATACCGTAAAAGACTGAGCACTTCTTACTGATGCTGGAGCCACAGGAGGCAACAACAGAGATGGACTACAAACAATTAAAAATCAGGTACCTGATTAAACAACTGAGCTCTGCTCCCTTCAGTCAAAGAACTGGTGGAGAAAAAACTTCATTCCTAAGTTTTTCTGTCCATAAACCAAAAGCAAGCACATCCAACTGACTGATAATTTGCCTTTAGTCCTAATCCCCGCGTCCAACCTCCGTGAGTATTCATACAGGCTTGTGCTGAACTCTGAGATTTCCTAAAGAAACGAACATTTAATTGAGAGCGGACGCCTTTTCGCTCTCAGCACTCCTCATGGGAATTCGGCCAAACCATATCCCAAACTCTTGTTTTAAGCAAATTCGAGTCTGTAATGTAGACTAAAAATAATTAACACTATCAGCTCTAATGAAAAACAAGCGCAAGAAAACCTATTTTGAAAGCAGATACATGTCTTTAAAATATACAGAGGAGGTCTCCTTTTGAGCTCAGCCCTGCGACAGGCTCAAATAAAAACATACGTTAGGAAGTCTACCATGAGAATCATGGAAAAGAAAATGTAAAATAAGACAGCTATTAAAAATAAAATAAAATTTAAAAAATCTAGTCCTACTTTGCGCATCACCACAATCGAGCCTGTCAAACTCCTCCCAGAAGTTTATAACCCAGACGCTGGAATTTGGTCTGGGCTGAAACCTCATCTTCCGCTACGCCAAGAACTTGGTGTCTTGTCAAGTCATCTGGAAACATCGCTTCACGTCAGGGAGCGCTAAAAGCGCAGCTTAAGCCACACAAAATAGTGCTGCTGAGAGCCACAGGCCCACAAAGGGCTTAGAGTTTAGAGAGAAATTTGGAAAGCAGAAAGAACAGCAGCGACTTCTTTAAAATCGAAAGCGAAGCCATCTGCTCTGCCCACAAGCAGTTGTTCATCCCAGCTACCCTGAACACAGGGAACCTCCGCGGTTACCGCACAGGCTCTCTCCTAACGCTCACTTACCAGAAAACCAGTGCTGTGCAAATTCAACGTGCTCTAAGCCTCGACTACTTTTTATAAAAAAACAGTTTAAACTCGCTCATGCTGATAATTGGGACTTCCCATCACAGGTAATTGGTGCTTTCAGAGCTCGCTTCAGAGGCGTCATCCCCGCTCTCTGATGGCTATTTTGTCCACAAAGCCAGCATCCTTCCTCCCAAATCAACCAGAGCCTTGCCCTGGATGAACTCCATCACCAACTCCTGCTCTTCACCTGTAGTAGCTGAGCACGTCCCGATCTTCCTTCTGCCCCTCCTTCGCATCCTGAGCCAGCTCCCTGATGCTCTTACTGCGGATTTCCTTGTTGCTGTCTCTCCAGAACAACCACACTTCTTCCTCATCCTCTCCGACCTCTAAGGCATTTTCTCCACTTGACACTTCTTCAAACTCGAATCGAGAGAGGACCAGCCTGCCAGAAGGAAGTTAGGTTAGATTACAAACTGCCAAGACCCACGCAGATCTTTCAGAACATTTATTTTAAGACACTTGCTAAAATGTACTGGTGATACAGAAGTAATTACTTTTATAGTCTCACCTGCATTTAGAAAACATAAATTTTATTCCTCAACTCTGCAAAGTAAAAGCAGACTATCTTACTCTTTCAGCAGTTTACTACATAAAATCTTTGGGTTTCATTATTAAAAGTATTAGGTTATTATGAATTTAGATTATAAGCTTTCCATTCAGCCTTAAAAAGACAAACATTTCAGCTCCATTCTGTCGATGAAGATAAAGAAACAAGAAAGTTGAAGACACATCGAACTGACTTTCAAAAACATCTTTTTCAGGATAACCAGTTCAAAGATCATTCAACAGACCAGAACAGGATTTCATAAAAAAAAAATAAATCTAAGAATTGATTAGTTCTGTACCACATAAATGTCGACTGGATCAGAGCTACTTTCTGCTTGCGTGGTGAAATAACTAGAAACAAATCAGCCGCTGAAACTAGAAAGGTTTTAGAGGCTTTTAGCTCTTCAGCAAAAAAAGGAAATTCACACATCTGAAAAAAAGACAAATTAAATACCCAAGGACAAGAAAAAATAAGTGATGAAGCACTTAAGTGCTGGTGGAAATACAGACTTGACAAAGTCATGACGAGGACTGAATGTGTAAGAATACTTTCACCCATCTGTGATTTAAATACTAGCTGACAGAGTCATCGAATCACAGAATGGTTTGGGTTGGAAGGGAC